AATATAACAAAATTTCATGACAGAATAATAACAAGAGTTAACGCATTCAGATCAGTCATTCTGATTACCAAACTCAAGCAAGCAAAATTGGTCAAGAAAAAAGAAAATTTTAAGCATTGACTGTTCCTTTCAATAAACCAGACATCAGCAATAAATATGCAGTGTAAGAACCATTGTTTAACTCCTACCATCTTGTATGGTGAAGCTCTGCATCATTTCTAATATTGTTTTTTTTTTATTATTATTACTTGTAACTATCTTTGACGGTTTGGTCAATCTCACATCCTTATGTCTGCTGGACTGAGCAACTTCACTGAAGATAACAGTATGTAATGTAGCAACCACTGTTAATTCCTATCATTTTGTTTTGAGGTTATGTATGGTCTTTGTTCTTTTTGTGTTGTTTTGATTTTGTCTTCATTCATGTTTTGCTAGTTTTTTTAATTTTTAAAATAAAAAAGAGTTAATACACTGTGTATCATTATATTCAAAGTAGTTACTCAGAGCACAAGCAAGGCAAAAAGATTCTCTCACACAAAGAAGACATAATTAACACAGAACTTTATTTCCCATGCACTAAGAGAAGCTAGTAGTATAAATGAAACAAATTAGCGTATGTATTCAGATATTTTGAAACAATGAAATAGGTACGTGGGGGACCCCTCTGAACCTCTCCTCACTTCCCGTTTATCTTCCATTTTGCTCCTCATGTGCACATTTATACTACCTCATGTACACATTTATACTTTCTCATATAAGGGAAACCATGCAATCTTTCAGCTTGTGTCTGACTGATTTCACTTAACATTATGCTCTCACATTGCATCCATTTATGTATGACTGCCTCGAGCTTCTCCTTCTTTATGGCAGAATTGTACTCAATTGTTTATAAATGCATTTTCCTTATTCATTCACTGGTTGACAGATATTACGCTGTTTCCAAGATCTAGCTATTATAAATTGTGCTGCTATAAACATGGGTGTGCATGTATCCCTGTTCTATGATGATTTCACCCTTTTGGAATGATACCTAGAAGAGAAATAGCTGGGTCAAATGGAATTTCTAGTTTGACTTTTTGGAAGAATCTCCACACTGATTTCCATAGTGGTTACGAAGCTGATGTCTCTTTACCTGACATTATATGAGAACAAAATCAGCATGCTCCGAGCTTTTAACAGGAGTCAGTTGTCATCACGTGTCTCAGAACTCTCTGAAAGCATGTGAGACTTCTATCACCTTGAAGCAGGCTGCTGAGTCTGCCTCAGGCAGTGGCCTGGGTTGCAGGGCTTCTGAGCGCGTCCTCTAGGCCTCGTGGTAGAAGGACAGAGTCATTCCCGTCCCTCAGGCCTACTGTCTCCATCAGAAATGTCTGATCTCTGCTGGTGGGAGGTCATCTGGTTGAGAACTCTATAAGACACCAATTCTGATTAGCCATGGAAAGTTTCACCATCCACCAAAAGATGCCGAAAGATAATCCAAGGACCCCTGGACCCTCCTGGTTTGGGTGAGTTGTTTTCATCCATTCGAACTAGCTTGAAGCCCAGTACCTTCAGACAACTATCCTCCCATTCTGTGATACTACAGTGATCACTCGCATCCTGCTCAGAATCCCCATCACCTTCTAGGACAAAGAAAATGAGACATTTATGAACAGCTGGACAGGGTAGTTGTAGATGGGTTGTTGTTGTTGTTGTTGTTGTTTGGTTTGGTTTGGTTTTTCCCTTGCACTGAATTTAATTTAACTACCAACTTCAAATACAGTCAAAAAACTCAATGACCTCAAAGGCAAAGGGCCCTGAGAACATGAAGTTCAAATTAGAGTAAAGCTTCCTCTACTCAAAACACAGCTACTCAGACATCTCACTATCTAAAATCAGCCCAGAATCTGGGGATGAGCCAAAAGATATCTAAACAGCCAAAATTATCTACATGGGCTCATACTGATGTATTTAAAGCAGCACATAATTCAAAGCAACTGCGTTTCCCAGAGGCCTGGATGGCCTGTTTGCCTTTAAGCAAGGCTGGAAGAATCCTACAGGAGCAGGACAGGCTAGGTTCCTCATCATAATCTGCTGGAGTTTTGTTTCTATGGGATTTTAGCTAGTTTGCTTATCTGCTTTCTCAACCCAGAACAAACTAAAAGAAACGAATTAGACTAACAGAAGATGGACCGTGAGGTTGCTACAGGTAAAACAGAATTTTCTCTGACAGTGGGGAAAAGTAATTACTGGTAACAAGGCAAGAGATTAGAAATTGATGAAAGGTAGAACCCAGGCAACCCAAAATCTCCATAATACGCATGTCTCAAAGTTTTAGCACTCCTGGAACAGCAGCAAGGTAACTGAAGTTTATAAAACTGACCCTAAGCAACACAAAAAATGTTAACTGAAGGTCAGTGTGTTCTAGCTGGGTGTGGTGGCGTACTTCTGCAGTCCCAGGTACTTGGGAGGCTGAAACAGGGGGAATCCTGCCTACAAGTTTAAGGTCAGCATGGACAACATACCAAGACCCTGTCTCTTACAGGAGAGGAGAGGGGAGAGAGGGAGGGAGGGAGGGGAGGGTAAGGGAGGAGAAACCAGTCAGTATATTCTATTTTGAAACCTGGTATGTGATTTAAAAAAAAAAAAAAAAGGACTTCCATCCAAAATTGTTAAATTTTTAAAACATGTTCTTTAGAAGGACAAACCTTAAGCTAGCTGGAAAACTTCACCACCCGGCGTGACTTGTATTGTTCTGAATAACTGAAGTTCCACTCTAGCAGCCGTGTGAAGCCTCTAGATGGCTTCCTAGAGGACATCCGGGCACCCAGGCCGCCCAGGAAATGCAAGGGCTTTGACTTCTTCGCTATTTGGAATAAACCAACAGGGGCTTAAGCAGATTTTACTGTATTTGGTTTGCAGGCTTCGCTGGCACCATCTCTTTAAAAGGCTGCCTGCCTTTGAACTAATCCTCTATTTATAGTCCAGCTGGAGGAAGGCCTCAGCAATGTATACACATTCCTAGAATTTACAGAGCGCGGCGCACGTAGGTCCTGAGCCCCCTGCTCGGCCCTGGCTTCTGCAGCAGCACCCTGAATCATCCCGGAAGTGCCTGGGCGCTGCGGGAGACTGCTGCCGTGCCCAGGAATACACCCACATTCTTGGTGGGGAGCACAGGGTACGCCTCGGGATGGGGCATGCGTGGGATTAGGCTTGGTAAACACCATCACTCACTCTTGACGGCCCGCGCTGCTCAGACCCTTCCTAACAGCCAGAGGCCGAGGCCTTGTGCATAGCTCACCCCTTCAAGCTGCTCCTCTCTTGTAACTCATTCCTGCCCCAGAACGACGCCAACTTCACATTTTCCTCTTTCCCCTCACACAAATTATTGCAAGTCATGGCAGGCTAAATATAGCCCCCAGTCTGCTTTCCAGATGCCGGGCTTTGCCAACCTCCCCCGACGTTTCCCTCAAGGCCCTTCAGCTGCCTCTGCGCGTTTGCTGCCCCTCTCCTCTCTCCCACCCCGCACCCCATGCTCTTGCCCTCTGCCTCCCCGGCTCCTCTGTCTTGCTTGCCTTTCCAGCTCAAAGGCAGGATCCAGAGGCAAGGCCTGCAGCCTGATGGTCCCTCCCCAGCCCTGACAGTGTGTGCACGAGGATAGGCGTAGAATCCAAAGAGACGAGAGATGCAGGGCCCTCCAAGACCCTCCACAACGAGCTTCCACGGCTCATGCCCAGCCCTGCATAGCCTCGCTTTGTCCAGAAGCCGTTTAACCTCCTGCATCCTCACCTGTTCCTTCCTCTTGCATTCTGGGTACCAAATAGTGGCCAGGAGCCCTCTCCGCCTGTCAGCTTCCTGGTTACTGGAAAACAGGTATTGGGAATGCCTCAAGCCATTGCTTTCCTGAAGTTAAATAGTATCAGCTCCTTTTGCCTTTCTTCATCAGACCTAGGTGTCCAAAAATGAATCATTCTCATGGAGCCTGTCTTTATGGCCTCCAATTCAGCCAGATTCGGAGTAGGAAGAACAGCAGGACCCTGCACCCTCTGCACTAGCAAGGGTTCGATGCCTGCTGCGTGAGTGTATTGGGGGAATTTCCCCAGTGCTCCAGCACGGGCCCCTGATTTCCAATGAAGCGCTACAGTGGCAATGTGTCTGTCTCCTCCACTGCAAACTTGATATCTGCCCTAAAGATACCCCGGTCCTTCTCTGCACTGAAGGCAAAGCACACAATTCTTATACACAGTTTATTCCATTTTCCTCACTCTTATTGGCCAGCGTACTTTAGTGCTACAGGTGGAGAATATATAACCATTAAGTCAGTTTGATCACTTCTTTATTAAAAATAAGATACTTATTAGATACCTCTTGAATCCAAGCACTGGAGATGAAAGATTTAAAGAAACAACGCCTCAAGAAACATGCGTTGTATTGCAGGGCTTCTTAACCTCAGCATGATTAAATGCTTGGGACTACATAATAGTTGGGGAGACTGTCTGTGCGCTGTAGGGTGTTTAGCAGCACCCCTGTTTCCCTTTGCTAGACATCAGTAGCATACACACAAGGTGTGACAACCAAAATATCTCCCAATGTGACCCAAATATCCCCCAAAGGCAGCTGCACCCAAGTTGAGATCACTACCCCAGTGGGATAGACAGAGAAGCAAATGATTGTTACCCCTCAAAGAAGCCCCACGATAGAGAACTGAATACAGAGTGTGCCAGGAGTCAGGGGGCATTCAAAGGATGGATACAAGTTCCCCATGTAGTAACAGTGTTGGAGGAAAGCTATTCCAAGCAGTGGGAACAGCGTGTGCAAAGGCACTGGGGTGTCACAAAACAGTTCATTGCCTGGCATGGTAGTTGCCTGAGTAAGAACAAGAGGAGAGGATGCTTTGGGATTGGCCCCAGTTTTTGTTTTTGTTTTTGTTTTTGTTTTTGTTTTTCTCCGGTACCGGGAACCGAACTCATGACCTTGCGCTTGCCAGGCAGGCGCTTTTGCCGCTGAGCTAAATCCCCAGTCCGCTGGCCCCAGTTTATAGATGGTCTTGTGTGACTGAGATGCTTGTACTTGACCCTGAACAAATGCACTCTTGACTTGATGGCATGACAAGGAGGAGAAGGTGTAGGCACATGAGGAACAGACGATGTGTTCTTAAATTAAGGCAGTGGTGCCCTGGAAGGGAACAGAGGGGACAGGATGGGAGAGTTCTTTCGGAGACAGAAGGTGCAGGACTCAGACGCAGTGATGCGGGGAAGGAGAGGAGGCACAAGATAGAGCTGAAGGTGACCCCAGGCCCTCAGAGTTGATGGAATCCTGCCAGGTCAGTCTCAGCTTTGAGCCTTTTTCTTTCCTGGAAGCTGAGGAGTTTGGACCTTGTCCGCCTTGTCTGGGGAGATGAGGCTCCGGGGAAATGTTTACTTGGGGAGTGCTTGTGCTAATCTTCCTCCCCGCTTGCTTGTAGATCAGGCTCATGCAGGTGTCTGCTGAGAGAACCCAACCACCACCAGGAACTGGGGAAAGGACCGGAGCTTCTACTTCCGTCCCCGGTGACCAAGGGGCCCCGCGCCTCAGTTTACTCAATTGTGATGGGCACCGCCCATCCCACCTATGGGGATGTGGTGGGTGTGAACAGGCCTGCTTCTGTGGGTGGTTCGGACCCCCAGGGGTACTTGGCACACAAAGCCTGCCGTTAGCCAGGATCACGAGTGGTTGTAATCAGGCCCCTGACTCCACCGCGGCCTTGAGCGACTGCCAGCTCCACGATCGGGCCTGCTTCAAAACTCGCCTGCAAGTGATTTTGCTCAGGGTGTCTGGTTCCTGCAAACAGGCTTCTCCAAACCTTCTGGGCTTCGGGGAGCCTCTTTGGCTCTGCCTCCGCTGTCCTTCACATCCCCCGGCTCAGTAGGAGACTTTGAGCTGCGTATACCTTTCCCTCCAGCTCCCTCCCTTCCCAGTGAAATTAGGGTGAAAGGAGGGAGGAGGAGGCTGGACGGAGGCCACAGGGAGAGGGGCTGACCCGGCCAGCTAGGTAACACCTTTCCCTAGCATTGGCCCTGGGTGGGCAAGGTGGGGAACGGCACCAGGAGGCGAATGTGTGTGTGTGTGTGTGTGTGTGTGTGTGTGTGTGTGTGTGTCCTCACTCCCAGGGGCCCGTCGCTGATGGTGATCTCTCTCATTGCAGAAACAAGGGGCGGCATTGTTAGCTGGTCTATCTCTTGGTTTCTGATTCACCCCGGGCCACTGCGGCCTGAGCAGGTTCCCAGCTGCTCAGGGATACACTTTCCAGCACGTTTAGGGCTTGGAACAGCCCCAGGTTTCAGGGACACATGGTGATACGGGAGGGAGGGGGCTCAAATAGACCAGGAAGGGGGAAGCAAGCTCCTTCTTTCTTTCTTCAAGACGAATCTCCATTTTCATCATCTGATAGCAGGAACAGCATGTGAGGACGGCGGATGAATTGCAAACCTGTGCAGGTCAGGAGAGGGGGCAGGCGAGTTGGGGGAGAGGGGCAGATTTAGTTCGTCCCGGCTGAGGTATTCTTGTGCAGCCTGGTCCCCTCTGACTCGCAGCCCTTGCTCCGGTTACAGTCTCCGCCCAGCCCTAGCAGGCCGGGCCTGAGCACCCACCGCACCGGAAGTCAGGCTGTGGAGTGAGCTTGCAGCAGCCAGAGGAGCTGCAGACTGTCTTGACCATCCGGGAGCCAGGGAGCACCTGGTCCCGCCTTACAAATCAGTGGTGTCTTTTCTCTCTGTTGCTGGTGGCTTGCTAAAGAGGGAGCAGACTTGGTGCTTTCCCCCGTCTCCCCTTTTTCCTGAGCCAGCAAACTGCTATGGACAGACAGGAGCCCGGTGACAGACTGCTGTCCTTCGCCTTCTGCCCACATTCAACCCCAGCCATGTATCCCTCTAATGTCTCTTGGAGGCCTTCCTACAGCACACCTGGCCAGCAAGGAACGGCACCCAGTCCATGCCGCTGAGAGCCCCTGGGTTCGTGGAGAGTCCAAAGGTACACACAAGCATGGCCAGCGCGGGACAAAACCAGATCGGAGACTCAGAGACCTACGAGCAGCGCCTCCTGTGCAGCCTCCTCTGCCACCATACAGTGGGGTGTCCCGGGGCAGGACTCTCTGGGTGCCTCTGTCAGCCAGCTCATCAGTGGGGATGGTCGTGGGGTTCCCCACCTGCTAGGGCTCCTGCGAGACCCGAGTCAGAGCCTGTGCGCGCCATCCCTCAGCAAAGTAGACAGCCTGTGTCAAATTCTTGGGCTCCTTTCCTCCCGCTTTCTCCCCAGGGTGACTGAGGATCAAGGACCATCACCGGGAGCCAGACTCAGAACAGGGAGGCTGACGTGCGGCTGGGCCCCGCCGCCCCTCCCGGCGCAGGCTGACTGGGCAGCGCGGCACAGAGCTGGCCTGTGTCCCACACAGAGCCCTCTCTCTTGCTCGCTTGCACAGAGCTCGCGCACAGGCTCCCATTCAGAGGTCTGCGTGATTAAAAAGGCGCCGCAGGCTGGCGGGGTGACCTTCGGGCCTGCCTCGGTGGGTGAGTGAGTTAGGCCCCAAGGACCCCCAGCCCTGGGGGAACCAGCGGGATTTTGATTCTGCTCAGATCCAGCTAGAAAGGTGTCACATGGCAGAGAGGACAGGGCTGAGGTCCCAGCTCCTAGCCACCGTGGATCCCCCGCCCCTTCTGTTGGGCAGTGTCCCCATTCACAAAACAGGATAAATAATCATGAGGACTGGGGAGGGGAGGATGGGAAGATGCAAGTTTGCCGCTGAGAAAATGGGTTTGAACAGCACTTGAAAGCATGACAGAGCCTCGGTACAGTCTAGGCACCAGGCTAAAAGCACTTTCTGCAGTGATGGAATGTTCCAGGCCCCACAGGACAGCCACTTGCTGGCCACAGGCGGCTACTGAGCGCTCAAATGCAGCTAGTGTGGCTAAACTGAACTTTTAATTGAATGGGGTTTAGACAGCCGGGGGTGGCGAGTGACACCCTACTGGACAGGGCGGGTCTGGTGGAGAGGAAATGCAGCGGCTTTGAGGCCACAGCAGACCCAGGCTCTCAGCCTAACTCTCAACATATGCTGTCACTGTGTGCCCGAGGTGTGCTGCTCGACCTCCTGGGACTCAGGGTCCCCATGACCAAACACAGAGTTAAATAATAACACTAAGCCAGCCAGGTAGGAGACCAGGCTTCCGTGTCGCTGGCACCAAGCCCCAGGGGGCCGGTGCGCGGGCACCAAGGTGACCTTACAGCTCATCTGGCCACGTGGCCTCAGCCAGGCCCATCCCAGCAGAGACCAGCCGGGGGGTTCAGGCTGCTGAGAAGGGAAGGAGGGTGCACACCCAGCCGTGTTCTTCCTCCGCTTTTGCCTGCAGAGGCCTGTGCTCAGGAAAAGTCACCTCTCCTCAGTGCATGGCAGATTCAGCAGAGCAGGCCTGCAGCCTCTGCACAGGCCGTCGGGCTTGGGTCTTCTGCTCTTTGGCCCTCAGAGCAATCTTCCACAAGAAAATGCTCCCGACTCCGCTGGCAAGCCTAGCAGACCCTCTAGATAAGGATGTGGTTACACAGAGGTTCCCTGTCCCGATCCTGCTAAGCTGCTGCTCAGGTGCCAACTTCTCTTCCTCCTGAGTCATAACTTATCTGCCCCACAGTCCATCCTGGTGAGAATCCGCCCCTTATTTTCCCTAAACACCACTGCTTTACCAGGGCCCCGGCTACCAACGTCCTCTTAAAACCTGGCCCTGGCTTTTCCAAGAAGAGCCGGGCTAAGGGGCAAAGGCTGGGAGTTCTGAGCCAGGGTGTGCCGTCCCCTGCCTTGCCTGTGTGAGCCCCTGAGCCAGGCACTGGCAAACCCCAGGCCCGGGATACTAGGCCCCAGCCAGCACTCGCAGCTCTGTCCTCAGCGGACACAGCAGCAGGGGCTCATCTGGAGGATGAGGGTCACTGGCCTCCCTCCTCCCGTGACAACGGCCAGGCAGGTGAGCCGGTAAGTGCTGGGAGAGACACAGGCACGGAGGAAAGCCATCCTCACAGTGCGGAGCGTGCGGAAGCTGGCGTTCTGCATCAGCTCTTCAGCTCTGGCACGCAGATGGCCTCGCAATGTAGGTCTCGATCCCTCTACAAGGAGAGGGGGAAAAGAACCCAAGCCCAGGTGCAGAGTGGGAGGTTAAGGACCAGAACGCCACACAGAGACTCTACGCGGCTCATTCCCTCCCTCCTAGGCCGCCCCGCTGAACCATCACCTCATCACCCCTGAGCGAGTGCCTCGTTTTGTGTGGCTCCTGCCTTTTACATTATTTCATCCTCACCACAGCTCTGTGATGAAGGTATCATCATTTTTCTCTTACAGATGGAGAAACTGAGGCCCAGAGAAGTCACCAACTTGTCTAAAACCACACAGCTCTTTTGAGACAGGAGCGAGGACATGAAGCCCAGGCAGGCACGCCCTGCACTGCGCAGCCACTCGGGAAGGAGGAGCCGAGAGAAGAAAGTCTACGGGCGGCCTCTCCTCCATCACAGGCCTCCCAGTCTGGAGCTGGTGGCGCAGAGTGGAGAGCAGAGGGGCCCAGGCGCTGCAGAGCCCGGGGAATCCCCTGCAGAACCAGCTACAGATGCGCACAGCTCTTCTTTCCCCCCACTCTGCCCTCCTGGAGCGCTTTCCTCCAGGCCAGCCTGTTCCACTGGAAAACCAATCTTTCCTGCCTGGGGACCAGGGCCGGCTGGGCCACCTTCTGTCTGTCTCCTTTGGGCACGGTTGCTCCGCTCTGGAGCTGGGGGAGGGAGTCCCACTGGGGAAGGCGCGGGTGGGGCTGAGGCCTTCATCTGTCCCCCTTTAAGCCACCCAAAGAAAAATAGCCCTTTGCCAAGATCTTTCATCCCAGTCATTTACTCTCGCAGATGTTTTCTGCAATATAAACAAGAAGCGAGGAATGTTAGGGAGAAGAGGAGGGCGGAAGGCAGGCAGGAGGAGGAAGGAAAGGAAGGGGGAGGAGGAGGAGGAGGAGGAGAAGGGACAACTTTGAAATCTGGGCCTGCAGAAGACAGGAAACAGGACCTCAGCAGGATCCCTCCTGCCCTGCATGCGTGGGTAACCTCGGGTCACTGCACAGGGCCAAGCGGAGGGTCACTGCTCAGGATGTCCTTGAAAGACGGGTCTGACCAAGCAGGCCAGCCCTTGAGTGGTGGCCACCCCAAACAGCCTCCCCTATCTCGGAACTCACTGGTGGGGAGCTGCAGCTGGCACCCTTGTAGCGTGGAGCCCACTCTCTGCAGGCTGGGCAGGGCTCTAAGGGGACCCTCAGCCTTCTGCCAGCAGAGCCATAGCAAGACTAGGGGAAGGGTCCCTCCTGCTCTGAAAGCGTGCAAGGGCCGACTCCCTAGACGGGAATTAGATTTAGTTGCACCAGGACTAGAGGGAATCTTGAGCTGAAGGAGGTAGAAGAGCACACCTACAATGGGTCAAGAAATACGCCCAGGAAGTCAGATGTCTCCACGTTCAACATTACAAAACGCTGGTCCCTTGAGTAAATGCTAACTTGGTGTTTATTCTTTCCACTCTTGACTTAATAAAGGGAAGTGCGAGGAGGGTAAAAGGAATTGAATGGCAAGTTTTTATTGGGCACCTACTGTGTCCCCCAAATGGAGCCGAACATCTACCTGGATTCAGAGTCAGATACTGGTCCCAATCGGCAAACAAGTTCCCTGTAGTGGGGAAACAGAGGACACAAGAAGCCCAGGTGGTGCTAGGCTGTGTGGCACGGTGTGTCTAGGATAAGCCAGGTGATGCCCCCAGAGAAAGTGGCATTTGCCCTGAACCTTGAAAAGTGGACAGGAAGAGCAACTTGCTTCAGGATGGTAGTGAATTCCAAACCTGGAAGACTTCTTGCCCAGCATGGCACCCTGATTCTGCAAAACCAGAATCTCAGAAATAGGAGCTGTCTGCCCACTGGGGAAGAACGGCCACCCCGCTGCCGCTGGTCTCTCCCATTTGCTGACTCCCACTGCTGCCGGATTGCGAGTGGGGTCTCCCAGGGGAAGTTAGTGGACGAATGGCATGAGCAGAGCTGCAAGCCATGGAGGAGGATCAGCCATTCAGAAAGAAGACACAGGCAGCCCTGACATTCGGCAACCTTTTGAAAGGAAAGAGAGGCACAGGTTCACACAAGGACCCGTGGGGGCTTCCGGTGCCCAGGATTTCCTAGAAATGGCGCCATAAGTTTGAGCTCCATGCAAGGAAGAGAATGGAAAGGGAACCACCTGTGGTAGAGTCCCGGGCTTCCCACATATTCATAACAGCATGCTATGGGTGGGACAACCCATCCCCTGAGGACGGGATTCCAGTCACCCCCAGGAAGTCTGCACCCAGAAGCTGAAGACGCTAAGTGGAAGTGACTGGTCTAGGGCTGCACAGCCAGCGAAGCCGGAGGAGATTCAAACCCAGACCTGCCTGACCCCATAGGAGCCCAGGTTCCCCCACGACATGGGGCAGCCTTCATGTCCCAAGGTTCCCAAAAGTCACTTGACGGAGAATACCCTGTCCTATGTGCCCAAGGATCCTCACGTGTTAAAGACTGGGCGTGCTCCTCACTAATGCCATGGCCAGTGAACTGTTAGTGTGAAGCAGGCATGGTGTGCAAACGCTATTCATGTGCCAGGCATTTGGACTCAACAGAGACCCTGCGAGGCCGTGTGCTCCTCTTGTGCATTCAATGCCGAAGTCTGCTCGCCACCAACCCTTGGCTGGGATGCCCCTCAGAAGCGCTGACCAGCTCCTTGTACTCTGCCTGCCCCAGGGCAGCTCTAGCCAGCTCCTCTTAGCTGTCACCCACTGGCTCTGCACTTGCCTTCTGCCCTACATGGGCAGCTCTGCCACACACCCACCCTCACACACTCAAAGGCCTCTCTCACATGCCCTCTGTCTTATTTGTCTCTTCTGTTTTCCCTTCGCATATTCTTATGTGACACACGCACTTTCAGGCCCCCATTATGCCTCACCCCAGATGTGGTCCAATTTCTTCACCTTTTTTTTTTTTTTTTTCCCAGTACTATGGATTGAACTCAGGGCCTCCTCATGGAGCTACATCCCCAACCCTTTTTTTTTGAAACAGGGTTTCACTAAATTGCTTAGGCTAAGCTCATATTTGTAACCCTTCTGTTCAAGATCCAAGAGTGCTGGGATTATAGTTGAGTGTGGAGGAGCACCTGGGTGACTCTCCTTCAAAGAAGGGCAACTATCTCTATTTTGGCTGAACCTGGCCCTATTTCCATGTATTGATATGTACACAGCTGGCTGGGACTTTTCCTTATCCCCTCGATTGGCTTTAAGCAATGCATATGAGTCTACCCGAGGTGCTGATGTGTAGTCTTTGAAGCAAGGTGACAGGTCAGTGTTTCCCTGCCCCTGTAGCTCCCCAAAACCACGTGTGAGTTGGGTGTGATGGAGACCTGTGCTCCACACTGTTGGCTGGGATCAGCCTCAAGATTAGAGGCTGTAACTTCTCACGGATTAAAAATGACACACCAGAGCTAAAGCATTGATCCCAAAACATTAGATACTACCTCAAATTGTGTTATGCGGATTATTCCTTCTGTACATCCTTCTCTCTGCATATTGCAGAGGTGATTTCAGACCACCTACCTAGCCCAGCTCATGGCACTGACCTACTTCCCACCATTTGCACAGCCACTCATCCTCAACCCACTCCCTTCTTCATGAATTAATAAAATAAGGGTTCGGCCCTGGGTCAAGGCATTTATCCCAATTAACTTTTATCACCTTAGCTGGACTTAGGGCCCCCTTGGCTCCCCACAAGTACAAATATTCCTTAGTGTCTTTATTCTCACCATGGGTTGCACTGCAAGTGATAGATTGGAATTAACTCAGTAGAATTCCAATAACTTTTCATGGGGTTACAAATATAAATTTCCCAGACTGAGATGAGGACTGTAAAGGGCTCTCTATAGCTGAGCACCACCACTCCCAGCCAGTTTAGTCCAATTTCTCTTTGATTTTCCTTTAAAAGTGATGTAGGACCAGGTGTAGGGGCTCATGTCAGTAATCCCAGCCACTTGGGAGGGCGAGACAGGAGAATCAAAAGTTCAAGATGAGCAACTGTCTTAGTTTTTCTTGTTGCTGAGACAAAATACCTCACACCCAAAGTCAAAGGAGGAAAGGTTTATATTAGCTCATAGTTTGCAGAAGTTTCAGTTGGTAGTCAACTGTCTCCAAAGCAAGGTAGCATGGCAGAGGAGAAACAGTCCATGGCAGGGCAAACAGGAGGCCACAAGCAGCAAACAGCAGCAGCAAGCCTCCCTTTCCCTTTCATCTCATTCAGGTTATAAGCCTTTTGGGTGGTGCCACTCAGACCCAGGGTGGGCCTTCCTATTATCCACACCTAGAACTATGGTAAACCAGTTGTGGACTAATTTAGTTATCACACCCTTAATCCATATTTAATATTCCTAATCTGCATTTACACACTCTAGGTCAACTACCTCTAAAAAACCACCAATGAATGCATGAGGCTTTGGGAGGGGGGACACCTAAATGCAAGGCATATCAGCAAATTAGCAAGATCCTGTTTCAAAATTTTAAAAAATTTTGAAAGGGTTGAGGATATAGACCAGTTCAATGAAGCTGTAAATTTCATCTCCAGCACAAGAAAGAGTAAAAGAAAAAAAGAGAAGAAGAGAGAGAGAGGGGAAAGAAAGAAAGAAAGATAAAGAGAGAGAAAGACAGAGAGAGAAAGAAAGAGAGAGAGAAAGAAAAAGAAAGGAGACAGACATTATAGCATTCCAGATGCAACAGACCAGTAAAGAATCCACAGAAAGTTTTCTCATCCTCAAGGCTTTTCTTAAGCTGTCACCTGAAATTATTTTTCAACTAACGTCACCTAAGATCACACCAATTTTCTTGGTAATCATGCACACTGATTCACATCAAGTTTACTACTGATACTCACACTGCCCTGTCCTCAGAACACTACAGCTCCTTTTGACTCAGCCTCAACATCACAGGAGTAAATTTAATCCTATTACACGTCATCGTGTTACCGTCAACCATCACTAGTCCAAATGGTCAGGTTCTTTGGGGATTCTAGTTCTGTTATGCAGGGCAGGAGCCACTCCTACTGCAGCAGTGGGTAAGGCTGACCTCTGATGGTTCTGCTCAGTCTTGGGCGGAGGTGCTGAAAGAGAAGGTCATGGCTAGTGATGGGACCCTGTCTATCTGCAGCTTTAGGACCAGTCACTTAGCAATCCCCAGCCACTCTACTTACGCTGTCTCCCAGCCCTCACTGCTCTTAAGAGGTGCCGCAAGGTCCTTGCTGTGCTGCCTACTGCAATGCCATGGGCCCCAAGTGAAGAATCCCATCCATTTATTTTCAAAAGTACAATACTGGTAGGATGTTTTTGATGAATCTGTGCTGATTCCTAAACGATCAACATTTCCTTTCCGAAATCTTCAGAAGCCATCCTTTTGCCTGTAGGTAGAAGCGATTGTCCCTGAACCCCAAAGCAGAAGTGCTCGGACAGCTGGACATGTCCATTCATTACTCTGGGGAGGTGCGTTTGCCCCTCCAGATCAGATCCCCTCTCTATCCTTCTTCCCACGCACTGTGCCTGGGAGACTGACCTTATGGGCTGCATTGGTGGGCCCCCACCCACTCTGGCTTCAATTTGGTTCAGCCAATGGAAGGCACCAAGAACACGGAGGGACAGGACCAAGTCGAAATTCTCATTCCCCTGGTGGCATTGTTCTGCGCCTCTGCTTGGCTGTGTCTCCAGACTGTCCCCACAGCCTGGCTGAGCAGCTCTCCCATGCCTCTCCACCCTGGCCCTCAGCTCTTTACCCCTGCCCACCCTGGAGGGCCTCTTCATGCCTTGTCCGTGTCCTTTAACCTTGCCCAGAACTTGTGAGCAACCCCACTTCGAAGTCCGCTCACTTACCCACAGTGGACTGTACCATCTCCTTCCCGCCAGGATGCTGACAGATGCACTCATATTCTGAGTCAAGCTTCCCAAGGATAAGCCCAACAGTGCTCAGTGTGGGAGGGAAGAGAGGTTCTTTTTTTTTTTTTTTTTTTT